CAGCATCAAAATTAATGACTAGCATACCCTAGCATAGTTCTCTCTGAGTCCTGAGCTCAAAGCTTTGGTTTCCCCATTCTATAATCTCTTGGAAAATCTCTGTCCCATGTAGTGTCTCCTAAGGGAGATAAGATACTTTCGGGACGTGAAGTTAAAGCTGGATTTGTGCTCTCGTGGTGGCAAATATCAGTGGGATAGAAGTTTGCAGAAGCCAAACTTTCTATACTTGGATCATAATGTGATTTTGGGAGAGGTTGTCCCGGTGCATTGGCTATATCAGGGTTGGAGGATGATTCAGCCACTCTTACTTTCCAGCTAGAAATATGAAACAATCAGAGGAGAGCCCAGGGTGTCTCTGATATCTAGGACACCTTCTCAGGTGAGTTCAGCAGTTCAATGTCTTCTGAGTCTCTCCTGCACAGGCTCCTCCCCAAGGTCTGGCGGGAATTGGAGACAATTATTCTGCTTTGATTCTTTCCTTAACCAGGGACCTAGGGACTTTTTCAGAGTCCTCTTTGTGGTCTGTAAAGTGGTGTCCTCCTGCCTATTGCTCTGGATCTACAGGACAGACATATAAAGATCAGGAGGCCCTGGGCCTATAGAGGCTCACTTGTTACTTTTTTATTCCTGGTATCCTCAGCAGAAGCTGAGGACTCAGAATACTGTTTGGATTAGCAGATTCCTGAGCTCACCAAGGACCGGCAGGGGTCAGAGTGGGCTGGGAATTCTAGGTGAGCAATGAGCCTCTCTTTGTCTAGAGGTCTGCATATATATTCCATATATGTTCCATATGCATTTGGTGTGGTGTTTCTTTACATGTTTAGTGGAGGTATATGTATCTTTTCTTCATGAGTCTTGTCTCTGTGTGTGTGTGCGTGTGTGTGAGCATGTGATATGTAATTGACTCCCAGCGTGATTCAGTTTTTCTTAGACCTAGAACATTTAATTCTAAATAGGTTCACATTAAAGAGGACTAGGCCGTTTGCATATGTGTTTTGGGATCTCCTAATTAGTCCCTTTGATTTCAAATATTTGCCTCGTGTCATAGTTAAGTAAATGAGATTGCAGATTCTGAAGAGACACAGTTGTATTCAGCAATCTGGAGCAGAAATTTTCTACATTTATTCATGACCAGCCATAGAAAGATATTTTGCAATCTCCACTCGGAGATGGGGGCTGTGTGGTCTTGTGTTTTGTTTATGAGCTGTTTTTGTGTATGATTCTATGTGTTTGTAAGAGAGTGGTATGTGTGTGCATGTGTGCGTGTGTGTCTGATATTTGTTTTACTTGTAGGTAATGTGTATGTGCTGGTGCCTATGACTAAAATGGGCCCTGGTGATTCACTGACTGACCACCTTCACCTGTGCTGGTCTCAGGTCAGTGGGTGCCAGAAATTTATTCTGCAAAGAGAGTGCATGTGTGTGATCATGTGTGTTGTTTGCTTCCTAACTGGGAAGAGGCATGTGTGTACAATTGGTATACTTTTTTACAATTTTTGTGTGGTGTGTTTGTCCCTGTGTTTTTGTTGCTTAGTATGTGTGTTTGTTTGCGTGAGTCTATATTCAGAGTATGAGCTTCTACATCTGGTATGTGATTTTTATGTGTTGCCTATGTTAAAACTACACAAGTGTTTATGTGTGGTTATGTGCATTTTTTGTGTTTTGTTCATCAAACCTTGTGTATTATTTATGAATTGTGTTTTTATGACTGTGTTTAACTGTCCTTTCTTTAGGGTCACTGTAGATCACAAGTGGCGAGAAATCACTAATCAGCAATTTAAGTGTGTGCATGTGTAGGTATTTGTGTGTGTTTCCTGTGTATGTTTTAGGGGCTTCTTGATGGCCCCTATAAACTCAAATGTTTCCTCAACTGTCTTTCAACAGTGGTCATATTTTTGCATTGGGCAGGTAGGCTCATGTGCATTTTCACCACTGGGCAGCTCTTATCTAAAGGATAAGAGCACATTGTCTGCAGTAAGTCAGACTTGAACCCAATCCTAAGTCTGGCTCTTGTACATGTTTGTGACCTTGGGAAATGACCTCATCTCTCTGAGATCCGGATTCCTCACTAGTAAAAGAAGGGTATTGATTAGTACTTTCTAATGGTATTATGAGGAATAAATGAGACAATACACACAAATTATTCAGCACCATGCCTGACACTTGGTGCTCACATGGAACGAGGTATTTTTATGGTGTTTCCTCAAATCCAAAGTCTGTGTAATAGAAATTCCTTATTTCATCTCTGTCTAGGGAAAGACAGGCAGTAGTCAGAAAAAAACTGGCCCATCCAAAGGCTTTCGCTCATACTTCTAGGTCATGTCCTGTTCACACCTCATGGGCCCAGCTTTCTCCTTCATGCAGCGTCCCGCCTACATCAAGATTCCTGGTTGGTCTGCTCCCTGATTTTCTTCTGGTTGACCACTGGCACAGCATATTCCAGTGAGCTTCCAGGCCTCCATGTGTGGATCCAGACAGTGACCTTCTGGGTGGCCATGAGCGGAGGTAACCTGTGCCCCTGAGCAGGTACATGGTCTCTAAGGGGGCTGGTTGTCTTGCTTCTATTCTGGAGTGAGGACAACCATCTTTATTCTCGCATCAGGGGTATGTGTTTTGTAATCCTAAACTCTAACCCAAATTCTGTAAGAAATATGGAATCTGACTGGAGTAAGGTGATATCTCAGTGTGGTTTTGATTTGCATTTTCCGAATGATAAGTGATGTTGAACATTTTTTCATGGACCTATTGGCCATTTATATGTCTTCCTTTAAGAAATATCTATTCAGCTCCTTTGCCCATTTTTTAATCAGATTATTTGTTTGTTTGCTTGTTTATAGTTAATTTGTTTGAGTTCTTTGTGTATTCTGGATATTAGTCACTTGTTGGAAGCATAGTTTGCAAATATTTTCTCCCGTTCTGTAGATTGTCTTTTCACTCTGTTGCTTGTTTCCTTTGCTGTGCAGAAGATTTTTAGTTTGATCTAGTCCCATTTGTTCATTTATTCTTTTGTTTCCTATGCTATTGGGGACTTATTCATAAAGTCTTTGACCAGTCCTATATCCTGAAGTGTTTTCTTCTTCAAGTTTTATAGTTTCAGGTGTTATACGTTACTCTTTAATCAATTTGAGTTGATAGAGAAATATCACATATCCTCACTCATAGTGGGAAAGAAAGAAAGAAAGACAGTAGGGAAAAGAAAAACAGAAAAAGAAAGAAAGAAAGAAAGAGAGAGGAGAGAGAGAGAGAGAGACAGAGAGAGAGAGAGAGAGAGAGAGAGAGAGAGAGAGAGAGAGAGAGAGAGAGAGAGAGAGAGAGAGAGAGAGAGAGAAAGAAAGAAAACAATCATAATAATAAATTAAACTTTCAGCAGAAGATAACAAAACTGTTATTTCTACAGCTGTGAAAGACAAAGGGGGAAGGGATATACCAAGAAATGGCTTAATAGACATGAAACAGCTGAAAGAAATAATAAGTTCTATAGATGTACACTAGAGCTAGGGACCTATAATTAACCATAATTTGCATCATGTTAGCAGGTTACCAAATGCCTAGGAGAGAGGAGACTAGATATTCTCAACACAAAGAAATTTTTATGTTTTGCAAAGATGAATATGCTAATTATCCTGACTTGATTTCTGCATATGATACACAGGTATTGATACTCATTTCTGCGGTTCACAAATATTTATAATGAGTTACATTTCGATAAAAAGAAAAAGAAAATGCTGAGAAAAAAAGGAATGTTGAATCTGGACTTCACTGTCAAACACCTAAGTGACCTGAAGTCTGTTATTTATCTCTTTGGTTTGATTTTCTTCTTTACACCTATGAAATATAGGATGTGATATTTGTCTTACATACCACACCTCTAAATATATACTTATTGTTTGAGAGAAGTTAAAGCATACAAAACTCTTTTCTAAATTGTGTGATGTATAAATGCAAATAGTAATTTTTCTAAGTAGGGAGCTATGGATTTTTTTGACAAATATAAAATACAGCTTCTTTGAACATTCTGACTAATAGGGGACTTGATTTCTATTCAGAGCATGAACTCTGGCCAGGTAGACTTATAGTGTGATTTCATTTGTTTTAGTTAATTACACATTTAATACTGTAAGTTTTTGTTTTCTTGTTGTTAAAATTAGTGTAATAATACCCATTTATTAGAACTATGGTGAAGATTTAGTTAGAAAGTACAAGTAAAACATTTAGAATAGTTACTAGAACTACTATTAATGCTGATTTGGAAACTTGAATTGGACACTTTTGGTAGCAGCAAATTTTAAATGACTCAAAACAAGCAGAACCCAGCCATTACACTATAATCCTGTGAGAAACCTTTAGTAATTCTGTTCTAACTCGGGGATTTTCAACTTCCTTGTAAAGAAAATAACTGATAAACACCATTTCATTCTCTATTTCTATGTGTTCGACTTTTTATTTTTTAAAGATTCCACGTGCAAGTGAGATTAACACAGTAATTTCGTTCTATGTCTGGCTAAGAAAAGCCAAATTATACTGCAGAAAACAAAATAAATAAATAATACTCTGTAGCTTAAACTAAAAACAAAATAACTGATGCCTGGGTCCTGATACCCACTTCACATTTCAATCTGAGGGTTGAATCTTGCCTGATGTAAACACGTAAAGTCCTTGAATGCAGAGAGTTTGCGTATCTGTTTCACTACTAGGTAGTCGTGTACTTGGTAGTTAGTGCAGTACCTGGGACAAGGATGTTGTTATATAAAAACACGTTTAATAAAGAATTAAAGGCCTTTTGATTCATTGAGAAAAAGAAATGGATAACAAGAGGGTTGGAGGTATCATCAGAACTACAATGGGACAGATGTGTGATTCATGGACCAGTAAATGTGAAAAACAAAGAGAAGTGTAGCTAAATTTAAGACTTTTCATACTAAAAGGACGTTACTATAATGTTATGTCCATGTTCACTGACATTTTTCGCTTCCACCAGTTCCCAGCAGAGAGAAGAGCAGCATGAGGAGGGAGAACCAGAGCAAGGTGTCCCAGTTCCTCCACCTGGGGCTCCCCATCAGGCCGGAGCAGCAGGGCGTGATCTTCACCCTTTTCCTGGGCATGTACCTGACCACGGTGCTGGGGAACCTGCTCATCGTCCTGCTCATCAGGCTGGACTCTCGCCTCCACACCCCCATGTACTTCTTCCTCAGCCACCTGGCCCTCACTGATGTCTCTGTCTCATCAGTCACTGTCCCTAAGATGTTGATGGACATGCAGACTAAGTACAGGGTGATACCCTATGTCGGGTGCATTTCTCAGATGTATTTTTTCATACTGTTTGGCTGTCTTGACAATTTCCTCCTTGCAGTGATGGCATATGACAGGTATGTGGCCATCTGTCACCCACTCCATTACATCTCTGTCATGAGGGAGGAGCTGTGTGTCTTATTAGTAGCTGGGTCCTGGTTCCTCTGTTGTGTCCATGCCCTGTTGCACACCCTTCTTCTGGTACAGCTATCCTTCTGTGCTGACAATACCATCCCTCACTTCTTCTGTGACGTCACTGCCCTCCTGAAGCTGAGCTGCTCAGACACCTCCCTCAATGAGCTGGTCATCTTCACCGAGGGAGGAATGCTTTTAATCCTGCCTTTAAGTAGTATCTTGTGCTCTTATATCCGAATAGTAACCACTGTCCTGAGGGTCCCCTCAACGAAAAGGTTCTTTAAAACCTTTTCTACCTGTGGATCCCATCTATTTGTCGTGTCTTTATACTATGGGACACTTGCAGGTGTCTACATTTTCTCTTCATCATGGAACTCCAATGACAAGGACATAATTGCTTCTGTCATCTATACAGTAGTTACCCCCATGCTGAACCCGTTCATCTACAGCCTGAGGAACAGAGATATAAAACAGGCATTAGAAATATTTGTCAATAACGCTAACTTCTTTAAGTGACAGTCACTAAACCCTCTTATTTCATTCATGATAACTGTGAGATATAGTTCCTAAAATTATTGTATGGCTGACAACTCTGTATAGTTGTAAAATAGTACATATTCTGCTGTTATGTACAGTGTTCTTAACATGTCAGCTAGATCAAGTGTGTTGCTTGGGTCGTTAGATCTTTATCCTTAATTAATCTTTGGCTGCTTGTTTGTCATCTCTCATATGTGCAAAATCTTACGCAAAACATGTTGATCTTTATAAATATGCAATTCAGTTTTTTCTCCTTTTGCGTAGCAATTCTCACTTCTATGTATATATTTAAACTATGTTATTGAGGACACATAGATTTACCATTATGTTCTACTCTTCATGGACTGACACTTTCATGTAGTGGTGTGCTGAATCTGTCTTGCATCATCTTCAAGCTGATTGTGCACATCTCTTCTCAACTCCACAGTCAGTGACATCATGCTGGTAGCTTGAAATCAACCGAAGTGGGAATTATTACACTGCGGAAATTGGTAAATGCAACAGACAAGGATCCCCCAATATAGAAAGCCATTTGTTTTTCATTTTGCAGCACTATTGCATTAATAATTAGGAGTTATTTCTCTTAATCTCTATTTATGGCACCCGCCTTACTATCTCATCTATGTCATCTGAAATTAGTATAGAGATTCCAGATTTGGGGAGAGTTAATGTTTACATGATATATCTTCTCCAACGTTTTACTTTAAACCTTTCTATGTCCTTGTATATATATGATGTGTCCACTGTAAACAGTGTAAAGCTGAGTTTTATCCCTTAGTGTAGATAGACAATCATTACCTTTCTTGAGAATTTAATGTATTTATATTTAATGCAATCATGATATATTTCAATTTATATTTTCCATATTCTATGTTTCCTATTTCAGACATATTTCATATTTTTTCATGTTTTTCTCTCCTGTTTTTCTACTTTAATTAACTATGTATTTGTGTCACTATATTCTCTTATTAACTTGTGAATCATACATTATTATTATTTTACTATTGTTTTGTGCTCTGTATAGTGATTATTTCCTGCTTTCTCGTTAAATTTTTTTTTGCATGTGCAGATGCTTTTTAGTTTGATTTAATCTCATTTGTTTATTTAGTTGCCTTTGCTGGGGTCGTATTAAAAAGTATTTGCCCAGTTCTTCTTCCTGAAGTGTTTCCCCTGTGATTTCCTTCAGGAGTTTTTTTTTTTTTTTTTTTGTCTGTTCTATGCAAGAAATTTTTTTTTTATTTTTACTTTGTCAGTATACAATGTAGTTGATTATTATGTCCCATCACCGAAACCTCCCTCCCTCCTTCCTCTCCCCCCTCCCACCTAAGTGTGTCCCCTCCATTTGCTTGTTGTAAGAACTTCAAAAAAAATTGTGGTTGCTATATCTTCCTCTCCCCCCCGTTTTTTTTTTCTTGCGGCTTGTATTATTCCAAAGAGCCCATCTTCAAGAACCGAGGTTCTCTCTTCAACTTCCGTTATCCTGCTGGTTAAACTCTCCATTGTGTTTTT